GCGTGCGTGCGTGCGTGCGTGCGTGCGTGCGTGCGTGCGTGCGTGCGTGCGTGCGTGCGTGCGTGCGTGCGTGCGTGCGTGCGTGCGTGCGTGCGTGCGTGCGTGCGTGCGTGCGTGCGTGCGTGCGTGCGTGCGTGCGTGCGTGCGTGCGTGCGTGCGTGCGTGCGTGCGTGTGTGTGTGTGTGTGTGTGAAATGTTATCAGAATTTGTGTTACAAAATTTTCCGAATAAAATGGCATTTAAAGGTGTCAGCAGCGATTGTCGCCGATGTTAATGGTGCATTAAATCGGCTCGTAAAGGCTAGCCGAGTGGAACGGAGGGTGCCGACAAAGCAGCGACGAAAAGGGGTCAAATTAAACGAGATCTGCAAGATTTTAGTATAATCAATAAACACATTGGCTATCGTGGCAACTGACGCTGGTCGACAGCGTAACATTGAGACAGTCAAGTTCCCGTAAAGACTAAAGCCAACGGCACACGATACTATTTTTGCTACTGGATTTGCTTACTGGAACCAATAAGAATACAGAGCTTTCAGGTGACTCGAGTCTAAATCCTGATTGGCTCCCGTAAGCAATCCGGTAAGAAAAATAGTATCGTGCACTGTTGGCTTCAAGCTGAAAACACACGAAGAAACTCAAGCACCAAGACTTAACAATTTTTATCAATTTTCAGCATTGCTTAAGTTTAAAAATGGCTGCTCACGTTTTTGACTCTCGTCATTTCTTCATTCCTTAAGCCGTAAGTTTTACTTCTTAAGTTCGTGTGTTTGAGCCTTAAGACACAATAACTTCGTGGACATTAAAACCGACGTGACTTCAATTGATCTCGACGCACGAAATTGATCTCTATATTTGTTCATAACTGACAATAAATTATGGCTCGTTGGTACGATCGAATCAATCATCAGAAACGATTAAATTTCTATACGAGATCAAATTTCGTCGCTACAAACATGCGGAAGTATTCGCCAACGCCAATCAGCAGTGTATATGCGTTTTGCGTAGTTTTATAGCACTTATCGTAGAATTTGTTGGAAAATATTCCGCTCTCAGCTTGTGATAAATTTTATTTGTAACTTTATATGCGACTCGAATGAGAGGAAATATTTCGTCCTAACGCTATCGACCCTCCTTTCAGCGAGCGATCGCTGTTTTTTATAAAATTATCACGTAATGACGTAAGGCTTGAACTTCGATATTTAAGCGATAGATACAGTCGCTTGCGCAGAAAAAAACAATGGCTGCGTTCAGCAGAAAAAGTTGCTTTGCAATTGTTGTAAAATTCGTGAATCTGATTGGCGTATTCTCTTAATCTTGAGTGAATTTAAGAGCATACGCTAATCAGATTCATGAATTTTACAACAGTTGCAAAGCAGCTTTTTCTGCTGAACGTAGCCAATATTATTCCACAGACATTGTAATATTTTTTTATCGAAGTACTCTTGACTACCAACTTAAATGCCAATTAATTTCTTAAAGTATTAGACTACGGATTGAGATTGAGATTAGATTGAAATTTAATCGATCAGAGTTTACTAACATCAAGTTTAATGAAATTTATTCTGATTGGACAAATCTCAATCTAATCTCAATCCGTAGTCTGATATAAGGACTAGTTTTGCAACAAACTAACTGAGTTTTTAATGTTATCAACCAAGAAAGTTTGACAATAATGGTTTTTTTAGCTAATTGTAAGATTTTTCGGATTCCCGTGTATGGTTGATTTAAAAACAACCTTTTCTCATATTATAAAAACACCAAACGACAATTTCTTGTTTTATTGAATGATAACAGTCGAAATGATGAAGAGAAAACAGCCTGGGATCGACAGCTTGTTCAATAATACGTGGATCATTTGAAAAGTTCTCGGAATAAGTTAAATAGAAAATTCCATTCTTCTAGGAACACATAAAGTTTCGATTCGTTGCATCAAATGGATTCATTGGAGACTTTTGAATGAACATATCCTCACAATTTTTTAAGAATGCCTAAGCTCGAAGTGCCACTGTGATTAAGTATCCACGAATTAAGGTTTCCATCCATGATTTTTTCTGTTGTCACATACTCTTTTATAGTCTAGTTACAATGAACTCTCTCGGATTTCCACCTGTTCCATGGTTGAAGAAATTCCTTGTTGGGAAGAGCTTTTCGAGACCTCCCATTTGGTTTGCGTTTTACTCGACAAATTGGAGTTTCGTAACGGGACGAGAACCTTGGAGCAAAGATGGTCTAACAATAAGTGCACCGATATAAAGGGAGATTATATCGAAAGATAAAAGTAATTACAAAAGGATAGAGAGAGAGAGCTGTCTTTCCATTTCATTCCGAGAACTTTACAAATTCAAGACGCCCGTCACGGATTGAGGGAGGTCCCAGGTTCGAATCCTGGTTGGGGTAATATTTTTCGCAATAAGAATTTTAATTGCCAGATACGGTCAATAAAAATCATTGATGTTGTTAATTACTGCTGGCGACTTTTTAAGAGTATTCTTAATAAGTTTTTTCAAATGGCCTTCGTATATATTATATATCGGAATACCTCGTGCATCTGATTGCATGCTTATCGCGAGATAAATCGTGTCCCGCGTCAAGTGGGTTCTGGTCAGTTTGCGTTGTCGCAATCTCGGCCGCCGTCGATCTCGCCGTCGAGCACTTGCCGCTGTGATATGTCGACACGCGGGAAAGACGGGGAGAGAGATTCCAGTTTTCTCGCGATCCCGGTGTACCGTTACTTTCCACGCTCAGCTGACACGGCCGCGGCTTTTCAACCGATTCACTCCCGAACGTGCGGCCTTTCGAGAGCGACGCGTGCCAGTCGACATTGCGAGCGTAACGCGTACACCGCGCTCCTTTTCTCCGCTCCGCTCCGCGAACGCTTCCCGGTCTCGCGGCTCCCCGCGTTCCGCGGGTGATAACGGGAGTTCCCGCTGGATGGACCACGTGGACGGTTTCACGGGGTCCTCCCACTTCCGCTTGTCGACGTAACGCCAGCGCGCATGGTTAAGCACGATATAACTCTCGGCGCGAGTTCGGATTGCTGTGCCATAAATACCGAGAGGAATTATATCTATGATGTTTATTCGTGATAATGGAAACGCGCCGCGCGTCGCGCACAATGCGTTTCCGCGCGTCGGAAAATAAAATTCGCGCACGAGACCGTATTGAAAAACGCTTCCGCCGTCGTTAGTTTTAACTCCGTTGTATTCGGTATAGGAATACAAGCTGCTCACGCGAGGCTCATTTCGCATTCCCGAATACGCGTAGTAGTCGCTGATACTGCGACCCGTCACTATTCTCCTTTGTGAACATGGAGACCCGCCGGCGTGTTGATACCAGCACCTGTGAGTTTTCTAGAAATTGCAGAACGGATTTTATCGAGGGGGAAACCGCTGAGGGCATTGTGGTGTACAGATTTGCGGCATTACTAGGCATTTTTTGGAGGCATTAGGCCCTTGCTGGGGCATTATTAAGATAAAATAAGATAAAACAAGATAGTAAGATAAAGTAATGCCTCACTGGGCATTAGTGGGCATTGGTCTACAAGATTTTGGTCGGCGGTTTCCCCCTCGGATTTTATCCCGCGAAAGCGTAGCGATTACCAGTTTCGTGATTGCACTTTTATTTATCCATTTTTCTTTGACCCTTTCGAGACGGATTTTTTTAATTCTATTGGGATCAACGGAGTGAATCGACGTCAAATTTGACAGTGTCGCTGACGATTCGTCGTCGTTTCGATGAATCATTTCTCACTGAGATTGTTATCGATAAGCAGAGCCGGGACTATTTTGGCGTCCGAGGCCAAAGGAAAAAGTGCACTCCTTAGTAACAAAATATTTTTTTACGACATATAAAATACAATACCAATTATTTTAATTAGTTATATTTAATGTATTAATATTCATTTTATTAGAACATCTAAGTATCATATATAGATATACATTGTGCAAATTTGTGTCGCCATTTTTGCACCCCTACAAATCTTTTACATGAAGCAAGTGCCTCGTTCGCCCTAGTCCCCGGCTCTGTCCATAAGTCTCGAAAGGGTTAATCAGCATTATGATTTTATTTCCTTATTGTATCGCTGTAAAACGCATTGGCTTATCGGTAACAAAAATAAATTCAGTGTGGTCGATATATCTA